TGACACAAATATAAAAATAACAAACACGAATTGTCAGTTGGCTAAACATATAAGCATTTTAAATTTCTCTTCTTCCTCAAAAACCATAAAGTAACAGACGGGATGTGCTTGTGCGTAAACTGCACCAAGAGTAGCCATTCCACAGTGCTTTATTGCCTCATTCAAGTATATTATTTTAAAGAAGGTCTTAAGGGAAAAGCAAAGGTTAGAACAAAATGTACATCAATATACAAAGGAATTAATTTACAAAAAATTAAAAGGATACTGGCAACATTAGTAGATATTTTAAAGTAATGACTTCTGATAATTAGGGATGTCACAAGCTAAATTCTTAATACATATCGTCATCACCATGAACTCTCACCTCACTGGTCGCACTGAAAAGCAATGCTTAACTCCTCATCTTTTTATCAATGATAAACAAATGATTGAATGATAAACTAAACACCATAAATTCTAATATTTAACCTTACTTCAATTTAATGGGGTTACAGCTTTAAAAATTACACGGAACTACTGCTATGCAAATGTTGGCTTAGGTCTTATTATTTCCACAGAATGTGACATCCGTAATCATTGCCAGTCATTGGAAATATACATTTGCCTCATTAGAATATATTCTTCATGTTTTTATCATACAACCATATTTCAAAGCTTCATGTAATTTTACACATTTTTTGAAAAATACCATTTCAAGAATCTGCTTGAAAAGCAGACGTGCACTACTAAATTACTTTGAAACAAGGAGAAATATTGCACAAAATTCACTGAAGATTTGAAAGTCAACACATTTCCCCCACACAACCAAGTAGCTCCCTTATTTTTAACAGAAACAGAATGTTAATTCACACAGAATCATAACAATTGTCAACATACTTGAACTCAACTTATTTTTCAAATGCTAATACTGTTACTGGACTCTAAATGCAAATGTCATTAGTATTGACCTAAGTAATAGTACAAGTTAATTTGAGTACCCCTTAGTACAGTAAACCTTGGAGTAACTTCCAACTGTGTTACCTGCTTCGTACTCTGAGTCAGCGGAAAATGGCAACGGCCCTGCCAACTACACAGATAGTGGATAGCTCTCTAGACTAAGGTGGCTGTGGACTCATCAGGAAACTCTACTTAGAATAGAGGTCTAGCAGCTTCCAGGAAAGACCTATCAAGTACTTTCAATTGGCAACTGAACTAAAATTGTAAAAAAAGACGTTACAAAGCAAATCAAGGAAGGTTTTGCACAAAACCACATACCATCCCTTTTCCATTCCTTTATTTTCAACCACCCTGAAGATCATGAACTCCAGGCCAGCTGTGGTCCATGCCCTTGGGGTGAAGTTCAGGACATATTCTATTCAGCCCAGCTTCTGTTAACAGGTAAACAACACTTGGCAAAGACATACACATCTAATAGCAGCAAAGAAGTCACTGAAGACAAATCACATCACCATTCATACTGGTTTTGCTGGTGCATTTATTTCTACATTCATTCTCCACAGATTTAGGACGATACCATGGGAACAGACAGCCTTCACCATCCTGAGCTTTGCAATAAGGAAGCTGCTCGCCTCAGGCATCATTTTATTAGCCACATTTGTTTAGCCTGAAATTTCAGGCTGTTGGGAAAACGCTGGCTGGAGTCTCACAGCACCTGGACTAGAGTCTGGTACCAAGAGCGATGCTGCTAACTCCCTTGGAAATAAAGACCACTCTTGACCTGTCCCTGCAGAGTCAGGGAGGTCAGGGGCTACGGGGCTCCTTTCTGCAGGCCAGGGTACCACAGTCAGTGTTACACAGGGGGCGCGTTCCCAAAAGGGCCTCATGCTGGCACTTCGTTTATTATTGCATGAAATGTTTCTTCAATTAATTACATGCATAGAGAAAAGATTTTAGATGCTCCTAGCAATTCCATCAGACAGCTGCACCAAAGAGAGATTGTTCAGTGGGACTGAATATGACTGATTGTAGGTGGAGAAATAGACGCTGTTTTAAAAACCTGGCTTAACTGTTCTTTTGCCTAGACTTTACATCGTTTACAAGAACACAAGGTTGTAAACTAGCTCATTCTAAAACCCGAAAAGACATCTAAAACAGATTTCTGAGATCTAAAACACTCCTCTAATAGATTGGGTGGGATTTTCGAAAGCCCCCAGCACGTGTCTAAAACTCCAGCTGAAGTCTGTGTTACAATGCCTGAGAGGGGACTTCAGCCTGCGCTGAGAGCTTCTGATGACCCCACCCAAACAGCAGCAGTTACCACTGAAATGCTAAATGACAATGAAGGGTTCAGTCAACAAGTTCTATGGAAACTTCTACAACTACATTTTTCCCTCAGAGCAAGTCTATTTTTCAGAGCTACATGATGCCCAAACACGTGGGATGGATGAGCAATCCACTGTCTACTCTACACAGACTGCCCTCTGCATGCATAGAGGGGTGGTAGGGATCACCTTTGCATCCACAGGACTGTCCTTCCCTGAATATCTGCACGGTTTTTCACATGTTGCATCTCTATACACACAGACAGGAAGGCTTTGACAACATATTATCCATTCTGAAAATCCCACAGGGGATTAATTCCATAGGCAACATTACTTTTGCCTACATGGCTGGGTTGGAATCACTACAATTGAGCTAGAACATTAAATAGTATCCTGAAATCTGGATTTCCTCAGTTTTTATTCCTCCTGAGGACTCCCAGGCTCTGCTTCATCACCCCCCACCAGAATAACCCGGGAAACCCTTTCTTTTTCTGCTGCCCTTAACCTTTTCCTCCCAAACCAGATGACTGATACGGCTCATTTCAGGCAGACATCTATGCAAAATAAACTCAAAAATATTAAATTCAAGTCCTAGTTTGACTTTCGACATCAGAAATTTGTTCCTATGCGTAAGTAACAGATTACAAAGCTTAATCAAATAACCTGATATCTCCCTTAAACAGGAGAAATGGAAAGATTCTTGAGATCCTGAAGAAGAGAAGCCTCTGAAGAAGACCACAGGAGCTCTGACCTAGGAGAATTCAGTTCTCACCGTAGCTGGTGATGAACATCAATGATTTTCAAAGACATTAGAAGGATTTCCACAAATAAAAAGCATACAAGTATAAAACTTGCAAAAAGTACTGGACCTGGACAATTTATCTTAATATAGAACCCAGTGTGGTAATAAAAATACCATATATGTAGCCAATAGCTTTATATTTTCACAAGGACAGAGAACAGTGTTGAACTGGAAATATCAGTTTGGACTCCTATCTATTTGGTAACTGGTAATTCTGTTTAAATAAGGCACAAATATTAGCCTTTTTAAAAGATCACTGATAGTAAGTGGAGAAGATTCTGTAATATTAAAGAGATAAAAATGTACCTACAGTTAAATTCAACATAGATATATGACTAAGTTATTTTTGAACCCATACAAAGTTCAAAATCAAAAAAGACATACTATTTAATGATTGTAAACACTATATGGGCTTTATAAATAGTAAGGAAACAATGTGGCATAAGCACAGCAACTAACATTTTGACTGAAATAAAAATAATTCTAAGTTGAATTTTACCTTTCATCTTTTAGTTCATCTGTTTACTTCTTTTCAACCTGCATTTTTACTCAACTAAAGAGTGAATTATTATTACAATGCCTCCACTTTGAAAGATTCTACTATTAAACTTTCCATTTTATAATCCTTATAATAACCTCACAAGGCTTCCATATTTTTTCCACGAAGGTGAGAATGGGACCATTTGTGTTATGATAGAAGTTCAGTGCCTAACTCTCATGTAAAGCCAGTAAGATTTCTTCTGTCAGAGAGGCATTTCTGAAAACCATTTTCTGGCAGCATTCCTGGACTTATGTCTTCAATGGTTTTGAAAGTAATGATGGCCATAATTTCTGATATTTTTTTTTATTTTCCTCCTTAAGACATTAATACTGTTTATTATCTTTAATTAATGAAGAAAACAAAGCATCATCTTCGATGGAATTATGGAGAGAAACACCATGTCAGATGCAGAGGAAAAGATGAATCTTGAAATCCTCGTCAACAAAATGCAAGGCCATGAAAAAGTACGAATGAGAAGTGCTACAACAGCACAGACCTTTGTGTTGCCCATCTTCTCTTAGACACACTCAGTAGCTCTATAGTTTGGTAATGTTTAGTGCCAGCAAAGAAGAATGCTCTCTCATGAGGCTGCTCTGCAGCTTTTTTATCTGAGCAGCACCTGAGCCACCTGGTCTGACCCACCTGGAAAGTTCAGAGTGGAGATTTTAAATAATTTTTATGATACTTTTGATTTTTAATAGTGCAAAATATTTTGCCAAATAACCTTTTTATGTTATAAAAAAAAAAAAAAGTCCACAGCATACCATGTTGATACATAAGAGGAAACCAAAGGATAGGTAAATACTTTTGAGTACAGACCACTAGACACACAACCTCTAACTTTGGAAAACTGAGACTCTCCAGCCATGCAGATTGCAGATGCCCTCAGGAATGTTCATGCTCTAACCAGACAGAGATATTTCTGTAAGATTTGCACTTTTACAACCTGATTAAAAAAAAAAAAACAAACAACCAAACATCTGGAGGCTCATCCTCAATTAAAATCACTGGCCCAGCCCTTCTCATTCTGGAACAAGCTGCAACTTTTGCATTAACAAAGTCAAGATCTCACTCTACTGCAGGTCTTTGGTAAAGCATCACATATTGCCTCTGTAATGATATGTATCCATTCCCTTAGGTCAGCTGCCTTGTAATAAAGCAGCCAAAAAAACCCTTTCCATTTTTGTTAGCTAGAAGGAAAATTAATTCATAAATCTCAATGTGGCAATTGATATTAAAAAATTAATTGATATTAAACTATTAAAGTGCCATCTGATCCAAATACTGACCTCAGGAACATGCTCACTCAGACCTATACTGAGACTAACCATTCATGCCAAAGAGGGAATGAAAGAAAAAAGGTTTCCAACATAAGTTTAGAAGAACAGGAGAGCATTCTTCTCAGGCACAGTTCATTTTGTACCCATGTGTTACTTCTGCCAACTGCAGCTCAGATACCCTTCAAAGCTGACAATTCCTATCTGCTGAAACTTCATGCCTTTTCTGTCCTGTGCAGGACAATGTAGGTATGGTAAGGTGGAGAGGTGGAAAAAGAAGAGGGGAAAAAAATTCAAAAATAGTAAAAAAGGAAACAGCTGCTCCACGTAGCAGCAAGAATTTTCAGACTTTAAATATCCAAATATACCTTAGGAATGCTGCCAAAAGGAGGACAAACGCTTCTTTTAATACAATACACATCAAGTCCATTTATCCTCCTTCACTGAATTTAGAAAGTAATTTTTGGTTGTTCAACTTAGCTAAAATGAGAGTTGGATATACGCAATTTTAAGCTGAATCTGTAATTTCAGCTTTCTAGCGTTACAAGTAATTTTCAGTCATGACTCTAATAATTTAACTAAATATGACTTCTAATAAGAGTAATTCAATCTACCTTCAAAAGGGTAGCCACTAAAAATGGAAAGAAAATAGTTCAGAAGAGGCACAAATTAATTTTCAAACACTATTAAACTGTAGAAAATAAAAAATAACAGAAATCTATCAATTCCACTTACACTTTCCTTTCTGAAAAATTTTAGGTGAAATAGTCTACCTAGCGAAACCGGATAATACGTCTTTAAAGTGTCTTAGTTGTAAACAGAAGTTAATAAATGTCACATTATAATTCAGCGCTTCATGTACTTTACAGAAGAGAGAAAAGCATGCGCTATTTTTTCGAAGTCTGGAAGACAGAGCCTCAGTTTTAGTTTGGAATAAGTTCCAAGTTATATTCACAACAAGTTCCTTAATCTAAAAAAAAGATTTCCTCCCTCCCCCCATTTGCTGAAGCAAATTCTTGCCATGGAAAATCATTATTGCTGTTTTGTAGATTTGCATTCATCTTCTAAGATAGTTAAACCTCTTCTCAAAAGATTAAGGCAACTATTATTCATTATGAATATTAACAATTGTACATTTCAGACAAATCAGATCGCTCAGTTCATTTCATGCTTAATAGAATTAATATAGTACCTTCAAAACCTGGTTACCTATTATGTGATAACTCTCCTGCTGCTTAGAGGAAGCAAATGCTAGGAAGCACCATATACCTGCTGTATTTTTAACACAGAGACTAACTAGTACCTGATTTAAGAGTGCATTCATATATTTAGTTCCATTTTGTGGACCTAACTACAGCCAACAAATGAACTGGGTAAACATAGAAGCAGGTGTCCCAATGGCAGAAAATGCATACTCAACTGAAGAGAATTATTTTTATAATTGAAGATCTCTCATTCCTTTTTCATCTTTTGGTTACCATGTTATATGGAGTTATATGGAGTCCTGAGTAGTCTCCCTTTAACTTCTGATGGGAGTCAAGTTTCTCTTCTCATAGCTTTCTTACGTTTTATTTCCACTGCTACTGCTGGATAAGTTATCCTTTGAAATATTTAAACCATAGTGAAAAGCAGAACTCAGTTTACATAGTGACACCACTTCTTGAAGAAGCCCACCCTCTTCCGGAGTTTCATTTCTTTCCTTCCCATCTTTCTCCCAAGGGACCAGAATGGATGGATGTTGAGCAAGACTCGTTGGGAGCTGATCTTCTGAGGTATTGCTTAGTGTTTCATTCCGCTTTGCATACTTAGAGGAAGAATATCCTGCTTTGAAACTTTCTAGAGAAGCAAACTGGGCACTTGATTGTACTGGAGATAGGGATGTCGTACTAGTGGTGTCCGCCTTATCAGTAATAAAGGTTTTTTCACTGCTTTCTTCTTCCAGCCTTGAGAGAGATTCTCTATGGCCACCAGAAGTAACCTGCTTCCTTGGAGATGGAGGGAGCTGCTTCCCATGGAGGACGCTGTCATCCTGACCAAGGTTCCACTCAGCTTGATCGTTAGCACTGCTGCAGAGCAACGTAAGGTTGCTCTCACTAGGTGCATTTGACTTGTTCTGAAAGAGAGAACATATGTTTATAGTTGATGTCACATCTTACACTGGCACTTCTGAAACAAAGAAGCTAATGGATTTTGTGTGTTCCTAAATCACGAATCACGGGTTCAAGGTTACAAAACAACAATCCCAGTAACAATGTAAGAATAAGTGCTTTTACACTTCTCTGTGGAACACTCTGTCTCTATCCTAAGGATTGCCTTTTGTACAAAGGAAGGATTTCAGTCCATTCAGTCTTTGCACAAGCAGTTTTGACAGGGAACAATGTCACACTTTGCTGGTTTGTACCCATAATATGAGAAGGAGCTGAACTAAAACTAAAACCAGATGGCATTTCCTCTTTGCTTCAGTAATTAATTACACCAACTTTCAATATTAAATTTTCTAGCCAAACAAACAAAAATGGGCATTTCATTAATGCGACCCCTGTGTGACACTCATAATATAAAATTTTACAAGCTTTTTAAACATTTCCATCAGAATTTGTTGTTCCAGTAATGAATCTTCTACTATAGGATCCCTTTCAGCAAGAGTAAATGTTGGACAGCTGATAGGAGCTGGAATTCAAAAACACTACCATTTTTTTGGCTAACATCACAGCAGTGACTTGATGGGGGTTTTGAAATTGCAGGCGAGCAGTTTGTTTACACTACAGGTTCCTGTGCAACTTTACCTAAAAAATGATCATCCCCCTCTTAGAACCCTCTTAGAAATAGTACCTCAGGAGTACTACTCTAGCAGTGTTTCAGGTGCAATTACCACATGTATCCCATGACTTAATCAAGATGGAAATATCACCATATCACTACGAATCGTTTAAGGATGCAATGTGATAACATAAATAACTACCTTCTAAATCACATTAAAAAAAAATAAAACCAGCCCTGAGAATACCAGATTGAACAGCTAAATATAATATTCAACTATTTGATTATGTAAATTATTACATTATTCACAGGTCTATCTGTGGTTACTGTTACACAGGAAAAATAGTCTTCCAAGATAACAACTTGGTAAACTGGACAAAGATGTAACCAATCTCTTGGCTGGTGAAAAACCATCATGCAGTGGCAGCATGAGTGTACTGTTGTGTAGTCCTAGGAAGACACACCAGCAACTCTCAGACTGTGCTGCAGTGTCTGAGCTGCACATTGTTGATTCCACAAGTGCAGGATTCCACCATAAAAGGACTGGAGTTGTTTTTCAAATGAAAGCAGAAGACTAACCGCAGTCTTGTACTCAATGTCATCCATTGATTTGAAGAAATCCAGGCTCTTTGCTCCCGAGAGCTTTCCTTGATCTGAACTGTGTGTGCTCAGTGTGTCCAAAATCTCCCCAAGCAAGTCCATTTCTCCTTGATGCTGAGGAGTTATTCCAGTTTCACCAGAATCATCACTATCATAGAAGTAAGCAGGAGTTTCTTCACTGTCCTCTGATGATAGTCTGAAAACAAAAACTTTTTCATCAGCTAGGAACATAAAAACCATTTTATTACAGCCCCTTTTGAAAGTAGGAGAATGCGTTCCAAGACTTTTGAAAGAGAACATAAACCTGGAATTTCTTTCTCCTCAAGAATTTTCCTAAACATAGTTGTATTGTATCTATGGAGATGCCGTTACCATTAGTTGGTTTTCCTGTCTCCTGGCTCTTCCCCAACCACTATAAGCTGTTATTTCAAGTCACCCTTAATATGACTTCCCAAATCTTCCCTTCAAATTTTAGTTATTCCAAAATCGGTTCTTCTTTTCCTTTGTTTACACCTTGTATTTAGGTCAGTGTTGCTACACCTCTCCAGGTGACCTAACCACATATTTTGTTCTAGTGGCAAGACTCTCATACTGCAGCTCTCCCTCTGTCATATGACCAGGTTCACTGGAGTACTGCCTCTCTGCAAGCAGAACTAGTGCTTTTGTCTCTTATCTTCTTTCATTCATGCAATATGCTCACCTTTGTCCCCCCTACTATTGCAGTCTTTCCCTATCTCTGTCTGTCCCTAACACTACAACAAAGGCTACTTCCAGGGGTCTCGCTTTTTTGATGATATTCTTCGAACACTTCAGTAGCTCCCTCTTCCCTACTGCATCATACTTAAGCTGCTTGACTTTGCTTTCAAGGTCCTTTGTGGTTTATATCCATATGTTCATTATCAAAAATCATCTCCTGAATTCAATCAGAGAATGCCTCAATGCAGCTTAAGCCTCAACTTCTGATTTTCCTTTAATTCACACATAGGAAGTTCTTGATATAAAACTTACAAAGCAACGTTTCTCTTTCAGACCCTTCAGAAAACTTTCCATTATCTTGACCACAACACAATACTTAAAGAATAAACTAGCTGAGGTCACTGCCCACCATGATGACAAATATTATTTCAGTGCTCCTTTGCCTATCTTTTTATCTTGATTCTGTGAAGACTGAGGATTATGTCAAGCTCTTCTAGACAATAATGAAAATATGTAATAGCCTGTCCCTCTTTTTAAAAGCAGATTTAATTCTAAACCACTTTACCTCATTTAGATCTGGAAAGGAGAAAAACGTATCACTTGAACTCAACTTTTCTAAATAACTCTAGTTACCATTTCTCTCATACATACATACACGTGCAAACAGGTCTCTTACTTGCTTGTTCTCTCCATCTCATCATCATCGTCTTCATCCAAGGCAAAATCCTGATTACTGAGATGCTGGTTGAAACGAGTCTGGAGGGAATTAACATTAATACATAAAATTAACATTATAATTTTTGTTTATTTTTTTCTATTTCAGCATTACTTATTTGGAGTCTAGCTGCCACTTTACTCATTAAGACTTCCTGAACTTTCCTGATGAGGAAAACCACATATTGATCAAGTCTTCTAAAGGTTGTTATAAGAGGATGTGAAGTTCTCAAACGTCACCAATTAAAGAGCAAGAGAATCATTTTTTTTCATGGCCTGTGGAGGGCCTTATTATTTATGCAACACCTGGAGTGCCTTATTATTTATGCAAAGCCTTGATTAGCAAAAGACTGGCTATTGGAGGACAAACATCACTAAATTTTACTACTTACCCCTTCTTGCAAGTATATCACACAAAGAGATTTTCTGTTTTCTGATAGAAATATTTGCCAAATTTTGGTTGATGTGGTTTACTGAGCATGAAGAAAAATGGATTTTTGAAATAGCAAATACAAAAGAAGTCAGGAGTCTAAATCTCTTTACATAGCTATATTTATATCAGGGTGTTAAACAGAATTGCAGAGTAAGTAGTACACCAGCTTGAAAACTGCACTAAGAATGCTTTTGTGCAGGATAATTTACTGTAAATTACAGTTAACTCAAAGTTAGTGTACACTCAGAGCATCCCACGGGGAGCTTGTGTAGAGTAGCTGGTGTGCTGTAAATTCACACACTACCATACTGAGTTTTCACTAACCTCTTATATCACATTATTATTTAGCAAACAGAACCAGGCTAAAGATTTCTACTATACTTGAAAAAAGTCTCTATCTTGACCAGAAAATTTAAGTCAGGAATTTTAGTCACTTGTGCTTCACAAATTACTGTGTTAAAGTCTGTGCATCAAAAACTTACAAAGATTAACTATGCAGGCAATCACTCCACTGAAGAGATTCTGAACGTTCTGAACGTTGGAAAACTGGACATAATTTAAAGACATATGGATAGAATTTGTGCAACGGGAAAACAGTGTTAGCTAACTTTAAAGAAAATCATACTAAACTAAAAAGAAGTGCTACTGCCCACATCTCATCACGCAGTTCACCGAATGCCTAAACCTACAACAAGCCCCTGATGGGGAAGAAATACGGCCTTGATTTCAGACTACAAGGAGCTTGGAAATCTTGTACTGTGAGGATTTCAGTACGTCACCTATTACAGATGTTGTCAGTGTTCTACATGTACCAGGACACTCTGTAACTTTTTCCTCCCATTATTGTCAGGTAAGTCTCAATGTTCACTTTTTACAGACTGACATGTTTTTTCTTGTTCAACAGGAGAGGATTTAATTAAAGCAGCAAGTTTTGATAATGCTTTCCATAGTTCTCCACCCACGAAGAGGAAACGTGGTTCTTAATGTGTTAAACCAAGTAACAGTTGATAGAAAATGAAAGAATTATTAGAGTATTAAAAACTATGAAAGAACCTGAACTAAGCTTCACACTAAGCAAAAGTTATAGGATGGAATGCAAAGAAACAAACTTTTGATATTTCTAACTCTTTGAGTTTTATGAGTTCCTTGTGTCACTGCCATCAGTCTTGTAATCAACCATATCCCCACTTGTAACTAAAGGGAGTTTAACCACTCTGTCTTAATTTATACTGTTAATTAGTTATCTTACTGATCACTGCCTCAACTACAGTCACTGTTTTCAGTTTAAAAGTTGATGTTTTAAGTATCTTCACTGGGACAATTGAAATGCTTTGTTTCTGTAACACTGGTAAATCACTACTTCCCCAAGAAAATTTTGACATAAGATTCATTGTAATTAAAGCTCTAATCCTGGAACTGACTCTTGGAGGGAAAAACCCCATTTCTGTCTCACTTTTTTTTGAATTTCCATCAGAATTAGATGGTGCCATCACATTTACTTCTACTAACATAAAGACAAGCTTTTGCAGGAAAGAAGGTTCTTTAAAAATGTTGAGAAATTTCAGAAAAGAAAACTAAAACTGATGCTTGTTCATCTCTAGATGGATTAATCCTGACAATGGAATAAAATCCCACAAGCTAACACTCACTAATTTGTTGAAATAATAAATAATATTTCAAAGAGCAAAAATGGCATGTTTAAAAAAAAAAAGAAAAAATGAAAAAAACAAAGAAAGGTTGTGTCTTTGAAAAACAGGAACTGAATAAAATTAATTAGAATCAACAAACACCACAGGCAGAGCAGTGGCCCCTCAGAGCATCTACAAACAGAATTATGCAAGTGTGTTAGTGAAAGCAAGAATAACATCATAAAGGAATATAATAGAGCATATGTTGATAAACCTAAAAAAAAAAAAAATCCCCAAACAAAAACTTGTAGTTCATCATGGTCAGACTCTTTGAAAAAATATTTTTGTTACCAATTTAAATGTTTAGGTTACAAAGTTATACAGAAAGACTTTCAAAAACTAACCCAAATAAAATGGGATTTACATACAAAGAAGAAAAAGCAAAAGAGGAAGGAAAGGAAAATACCTGGCTGTAAATAACAACATTCTCCAGAGTTTACAGCTCTGTGAGCTAGCCATGGAGACAACAAGCAACACATGTTTTTGAATAGGTGACTTTCTTCTAGGAGCTGTAATAAAAAAGACTGCAAGGGAGGGGTATTGTCCAGACTACTTTGCAAAGAAAGAAAAAGAAAGAAAGAAACTCTTAATAAATTCCAAAAGGAGAACTATAAATCTTTTTCAATGCTCCACTAGGCAAAGTGACATAGTACGTGCACCTGCAAAAGCTGTCAAAGTCATTTAAGAAGTCCTTCCATTACTGACGTACCCTGCTGTTTGCAGTTATTTAAGCTTTTAATTTCTGTCTTTTCTGCATTTTGAAGTGTGTAACCTTTTTTATACCTTTTTATGAAAAAAGGACAGACTTCTGTTTCCTTCCTGATCAGCATTCTAATAACAACCAGACCATTTAAATTTATTACTGCAAGAAATGATATGGTCACACTCCTTTCTTGCTGCACCAGAACTTTATAAAGTCTTAATAGACTGCTGTCATGTTTTTTTCTATAAAATAAAGAAATAACCTTCTTTAAAGTACTCAATTGTTTTGCTTCTTCCAACGAGTTCTGTTTATTATAAACAGTAGATTTATTATGTATCCACTTCATATCAAAACATGATTCAACTTTTGCTATTTCAAATTTTTCCCACCTTCAGGCGCACTGCACTGCAAGAACCCATCTCTCATCTTCCTCAGAACGTAACAGTTCAACATAACACAACAAGTTGTGTTCAACTTAAACACAACAAGCTCCTGCTCTCCACAAGTCACTGTTGAACCATCAAGCCTGTGTGTAAAGGACAGCAAAGGAACAACCGCAGCTGGTGTGAGGATATTTTGCATACATAGTATACATCCTCTTTGGTTTCTGCCCCACTTCAAAATCTCATTCCACAAGTGGTCTGCAACCTATGCAGTTGGGGTAAATACTGATCACTGAAACCAGAAAAAGAATGTGCTGACACACAAACCACACAAAGTGAGAACAGGTCCTTAAACTGTTCTCTTCTGCTCGCTGGTAGCCTCACAAAATGTACTACTTCGGCATAAAAACATAGACAAAAATACATGATTTAAATGTAAGATGGTTACATCCTTGATTGGGCATGAGAGTCAATCTTTGAAATGTCAGCTTTTTATTTAATGCTAGACCTTTCAGAAGCACAGCTTTCTGGAATGAGTATTATTGATCTTTACTAAGGCATAAGTTTAACAAGGCTGCTGCTATTAATTGTCCTCAAAGCAAGAAACAAATAATCTTTTGATAAATGGCAGCACACATATAATTTCACATTTACCAGCTACTCGATACATCAACACATATAAAGTTTCAAGAAAAGAAAAATATCTACTATGGTTTAAATTTATGAAGTACTGTTTCCTTTTTCTTAAAAATTTAAAGATTATTCATTCAATACAAGAAAGCAAAATAAATACAAGGCCACTATTATTTATGATTCAGTATTTTATTTTACCTGTCCTCCTCTACAACACAATCACAGATGTAATTATGGCTTTACCTCCAGTAGAGAAGCAACAATCTCTCAATCAAACTTTCTAGTTAAGCACAACCTGTTGCCTTCCTTTCAGGTTAAAGATTTTGACCTAAAGCAATGGATAATGAAATCACAGGGAAGTACTTCACATTACACTCCAAAAGAGCTGAAACTGATGGGGGAAGAGGGAAAGAAGGGAGATATAAAAGAAGCACAGTTGCTAAACTTTTCTTCTTTTTCTGGGACATGCTACAAATCAACCACAAGCTTAAGGCAATGCTAGGGGTACCAGTTAGTTACATGGACATCAGACCAGGATAGATGCAAGCAGTAATTCTAGATAAATCTCTTGAAAGGATCCCTTGAAAAAAAAATTACTTGTGCATTTTTACTCACAGAAAGTAACACAAAGTAATAATGCCTTACAAAAAATATGCCTCTGATATCAGAAAAGTTGTCCTGGGTATAAATTAAATAAATGTTATCTAGGATGTTATATTTGCTTTTTAATTATTTTATTATTATAACACAGGACTCATTGATAATTTAAAAACTATTAATCTTAAATAAATAAAAACAACCCTTCATCCTTCCTAGAATAGAAATATTCTCTACTTTAACAGATTCAGACATATAGATGATGCATTTGAAAGAACGTGAAATGGTTGGAAATATCCACTGCTTTATGCCATGAGACAAAAGTGTCATCAGTTCTGAGATCCTGTTAATTAAAATGATATAGAAACAGACGCACACAAAACCAGTAGGTTTCCAGTGACAGAAAGAAATGCTTTTCTGTGACAAGAAAGAACCTGCAAGAGCAGGAAATCCCCCAAATCTGTTCAGAGACAACCAGAAATGTGTAGATAAGAATATGGGCACAGTACTTTGAAATGACAAGTAAACTATAATGCAACAGCGATCTCCACTGACTTCCGTGCAGTTAAAGGAAACATTAATACCCATGCTGAGGTAGAATTTATTTTAAGTAAGGATGATGTGTTGAGATACTCAGTCATGGATAGCACATTAGAATTATTTGTGTTCCGAATTGCTGTGGTGAAAAATAACAAACTCTAAGCTTCCTGCCTTTTCTGTATGCTATACCCCTGGACACAGAGAATAGTTGAGAATTTTCTAAAACTGCTTTTGATTTTTAAGGATTAATCACACTTCTGTAACTATGTTTCAGAAATAGCTATGTTTTTCTCCAAAACAGCAAGTAAACTTCCATTTTCTCTGACGAATCACACTCCGCTTTCCCCTCAGGAGTTCTCCACCATCTCCTGTCCCTCTGAATCAGGCCGAGCCCCCACGCTGCCCACAGTCAGGGATCACCTCCAACCAGATCTCACTCACTCTTTTCAATGGCACAGAGGCTATTCTTAGCAAAACCAGCCATTTCAGCTGACACACTGTGGCACCGTGCCACACACCAGTCTAGCTGCTGAACCATCCAAAGGCAGCTGAGCTTCACATTAATTGGCAATAAGCTGGAGCTTCAGCATTTTAAAACAGGACCTGGAGATTTTCAGTGCCATTTGCAACAACTAAAGTGAGCAGATGTTTCATAAGCAAGTATTATTTATAGAATTTTTTTCTGGATTATTTTATGAATCAGGTTCATCAGGCAGAATTTCCTGTTACACAAACTAAGAAAAATATCCCTTATTTTCCCTTTTTGATGGTTATTAATGCCCTAGGTTTATTCAATGATTAGAAGGAAGGGAAATGACAGAATAGATGTTTGAAGGGGTCACAGTGGAGACAGGAGCAGGAAGATAAGGGGAAACCTATGTCAAGAAACTAAAACTAATCCGTGTTCATATGCACAAAGGCATGTGAATGTCCATATGCACAAAGGGAGAAAAGGGAATTAGGTTTTGAGGTAACAGGGAAGTCAAGAGACATGGAAGTAACTCGGGTGTACAGTGTGTGACATCAGTGAATCAGAATTCCTGTAAACCTGGTTCATCTGGCTGGAATGTGCTCCCTATTTGATACAATTCCTAAGCAGGTAAAACAGATTACTGGTTAAATTGATCTTTTGGTTAAAATGTCCATCATGTCCTTAGATCAGCAGAACTCTCTCATGATAAAATCACTGCTGGAAGCAATCACTGCTGGTTTGCAGAACGTGTGTGACTTTTTTCAAAGGAAAACTTACCAAAATCACCAAAGTTAAAATGTACAAAGTGGATGTGATCCTAAACACAAATCTTGAGACTCCAAGGTTTAATGGAAAACACCTAGCGTCACAGAACTTTAGATGGATAAAACCTCAGCAGCACTGGACTCAGACCTAGGGACAGTGGAAGAACCTATTTGAGGGAAGCTCTGTATGAATCTTGAAAACAGACTAAGCACATTTGCAAGTAAAAAAGACTGAGCCTTAGAAACAGAAATATTGACTCCAAGCACGTTTCGGTCTAAGGCTCCCGACCAGAAAAATTAGTAAGGAGTCACTCCTCCTTTTTGCCACCAGTAGGAGTCTTCTGCTCAACAATGAAGGTCTTTCTCTACAAGGTGCTGTGGAACAAGGATGGCACTCAGATTTGGATGCTATTCACTAATTTCAGATATTTTAGAGCCACAATTAGACAACAAACAGCAGGACAGGGGCACCATCAAGATGCATTCTAGATTCTAGGCGGGTTGAGTTGCCCTGTGGTCATGCCCCTCTCTCTACATTTACTGCAGAAAGTGCTTAGGGAAGCACTACTGCTAACTTCAGCATTTCAGTAGGGTCTCAAATTAGATGGGTTGAATCTGGGCTTTCACATTCAGAGATGCTGAGATACCTGCAGGGCTTCTCCTGTTTCTTCTATGTCTCCCTCCTTTGGCCCTCAGTCAGACTTTGTTCTTTAATGGAACTTCTTTATTCAATTTTTTAGCATGTTTGCAATGTGCAGGTAGTCACAGCCTAGGCCAGCCTCGGGTTAAAGAGCCGCTTTCTGTCCCACAAAATAAATAACTTAATGTCTTCCATGCAGTTAGTACAAGCTACTAAGGGAATTTCAGGCGTTACCCCTAAGTAATTTCGCAATATTTAGGCAGATTAGAAAAGCATAAGTCTGCAGGGAAGGTGTGTGGGGTGTTTCCACGTATTTCTGCCCCAAGCGTTAAAACAGCTTAAACAATTAAATGCAGCTTTAGCTGCTTCTAGTCACCCCCTCAGCAGGCAGGCAAAGGATGCCCAAATGACAAGCTGCGTGCACCCAGCGGGGACAGGGCACCCGCCTGTACTGCAGTCACGTCCAGGTGTTATTCCAGAGTAAAAAGCACAAGGCTCTCCTTCCAGGCTGCCTCCAGCACCACTGCGTGAACACCATTCCAAGCCTTGGATGCCTTGACCAAGAACGATCCACAGGAGGAGTCAAAAAAATAAATTAAAAAAAAAAAAATTCAAAACTGTGGGTAACAGTGACCACCAGCCAGAAAAATATCTGGCTGTGCTCAAGGTCTGCATGGACATGGACTCGATTAGCCTGTGTTTGCCACTCAGTCTTGGGATATATTTTTCTCGTGTAGCCTGCCTGAGATGTAGAAATCATTTGTCAAATTTTCTGACATTGGGGAGAAAAGAAGGGGAAAAAACCAATTACACAAGTACTGGTCTGTTGACATTTAAAATGAGACAATGATGAGCATAAAAAAAAAGGTTAAAAAAAAATCCTGGGCCAGCAACCCAAAGGACCAAAGACAAATCACAAAATAGGATGCAACTAATTAGGCTGAAATGCCAACAATGTTCAGTATATGGTTCAAAGTATCCGCGGTGTCAGACTGCTACCGTGACCCCCAGTTCGAATATGCCAAGGGGAAATGTAGAAAAGGACTGAATCAGATAAGTTAAATACAAATATTTTAAAATGACATTTTAATTTCTACCTCACCATTTTAACATTTTCAAAATCGTTAAATAAGCATGTCGCCTATTCTCAGAGCAGGCCAAATGTCAGATGTTTGTATGTATTATTCAGCTGAACATTTTACGTACATAATCCTTCTCATTGCTAAACAGTTGGTATTATATTCACAGGTTATTTTCTTAAAAGAAATGGTGAATAGAAAACTGCTAATACTATAAAACGTTACATTACTGAGCGTGGAGCCAGTGCTAGTACGGAACCAAACAAAGGTCCGCAGGAGGATGGGGGAATCAGTAGCCACAACTTTCTGCTGTATCTATGACTTCTAAAGAACATTTCAAGGCACCAGGACCCAGAGTCTCAGAACTCATCTACCACAAGTCACCGATGCTTAACCACTCTCTAAAAAACTGGGCTCCAGAACTTTTAAGATGAGCATGTCAAGGCTAAAACCTCAAAGTCAAACACTGTTTTTACTATTCCTCCTTTGAACGGTCCAAGCTGAGAAAACCACCCTCCAGCCATTTTGAACACATAGAAATGTTCCTCTTTATTATTTTGGAAGCTAAAGCTAAGCTAAAGCTGAAGTGCCTCTACACCAATGCATGCAGAATGGGCAACAAACAGTTGAGTTCCCATCCCTGGAGGTATTTAAAAGACGCGTAGGTATGGTTTAGAGTTGGACTTGGCAGTGCTAGGTTAATGGTTGGACTCAATGACCTTAAAGGTCTTTTCCAACCTAAGTGATTCTGTGATTGTATTCCAGGTGAAATTAAGTGATTTTGTACTAGGATAAACATACTCACCTTGGAAAGCATATTAGTTGAGATATTCGTAGCTATACGTAACTGAAAAGAAGAAGTAAACCTGAAAAAAGAAAATTAGTGGAGCCGTATGCTGGCAGGAACCTGGTCCTTTGACTTGCAGGAGGAATGTAAAATAGGCAGTCACAGAAGGAAATGATATATGGCCTACAGCATATTCCAAATGTGCTTCCCAAACTTTGCTTTTAGAACTAACACTTGTTTATGTTTCATACAGAATTTGTTACAGAATTGAGAACCTCTGGGGTTTTGAAGCTTAAGAAGCTGCTAGCATTTTTTCTGACTGATGAAAATCTGCAGAATGACTCTACTTTGCTTTATCTGAATACCAGCAAAGCCACAACACCACTTCGGGCATTGCTTAGGTTTTCGTTGTTGTTGTTGTTATTGCTTGTCACATTAAATAAAAATCTAAATCCATTAATTTGGTAAAGTTACTTTTCCTTTTGTGAACATAAGGTTAACACACAGTGAGTTCTGGAAAGAAAATGAAATGCTTTGCCCATCATTCAGGTACAGCTGCAGCTGCATGGTGTAGAAGTATCTTGCAAAAGCAGTATTTTGAAGCACAACCAACCAAGAAGCTACTAATGAGTAGGAGTGTTTATGATTTCTCTTCCTAAACAACAAGACACTGCTTTGAGTTGCATTTTTCCCCTCAAATGCCACAACTCTTAATAAATGACCCAGCTTCCATGCCCAGGGTGCTACCATGTGACACGGACACCAAACTCCTCTCAAGTAATTTTTCATAGGCATTTGGTATAGTTGTATCAACGGGAACAGAGTCCTGCTGCATCTGTGTAAAATTTGCCAACATAACTTAGACTAACTTGTCTTATTACCTCCTCTTTTTCAACCCTTTCCCATGCTTACATTTGAAAGAACTTACCGAACGCAAACAACCACAGAAAGCGAGTTGCAACTGGCAACTGGCAAATCTCAGTGCCCTGAGATAACAAGCTAAGGAAAACAGGCAAACTTACCCTGAAAGACTTAGTACTTTCTTGCTCCTTCTGCAAAAATTAAAGGGTTCTACATTTCTATAATGTTCGTCATTGGCACATGATCTGGACCTATAACAAGAAGTTCATTATCACTGTATTATTTTAACCTATAAGCCTGATAAACATGAAAATGCTGTTCAGATAAACCCATCAAACAAGAACCTGCACCACCCAAGGAATTTTGATATTGTTAAGTTTTATTTTATAATACAGTGTTGGGCACTTTATGGTAATGTGGAGTTCACCAAGAACTTCTACTGACGCCACAAACTTGAAAGAAAAAAAAAAACAAACCAACAAGACACACCACACATCACAGCTCATTTACTACATCTACACAGTGCACTACTGACAGTAGTCTAAGGTCTGAATTACAGTTCTTGAGATGACTTTGAACAGTAGTCCAGAGGGTGCAAAAGCATGGAGTAAATTCTTAGATTTGGTTCTAATATTTATTAAAGGTCAGCAACTAACTAAATTCTTTAAACTGTTAGGACAATGCTGGTTGGTTGTTGCGTTGTTTTGGGTTTTTTTTTAAATCTCCAAAATTAATAAAATGATTAAAAAAACCTCAAAACATGCTGTACTTTATGCCTTTTCTATAAGTATTAAAGGCTCACTCCAATGACTTTATCAGGAATGGTTTTCAAAGGTCACTAAAAAAAACATTCTGAAAAAAAACCATTAGAAGCATTAGGATAGGTAATGTTGCTTTGTTCCATGTTAAGGCATTTCTCATTGTATCTGACACAAATATAAAAATAACAAACACGAATTGTCAGTTGGCTAAACATATAAACATTTTAAATTTCTCTTCTTCCTCAAAAACCATAAAGTAACAGACGGGATGTGCTTGTGCGTAAACTGCACCAAGAGTAGCCATTCCACAGTGCTTTATTGCCTCATTCAAGTATATTATTTTAAAGAAGGTCTTAAGGGAAAAGCAAAGGTTAGAACAAAATGTACATCAATATACAAAGGAATTAATTTACAAAAAATTAAAAGGATACTGGCAACATTAGTAGATATTTTAAAGTAATGACTTCTGATAATTAGGGATGTCACAAGCTAAATTCTTAATACATATCGTCATCACCATGAACTCTCACCTCACTGGTCGCACTGAAAAGCAATGCTTAACTCCTCATCTTTTTATCAATGATAAACAAATGATTGAATGATAAACTAAACACCATAAATTCTAATATTTAACCTTACTTCAATTTAATGGGGTTACAGCTTTAAAAATTACACGGAACTACTGCTATGCAAATGTTGGCTTAGGTCTTATTATTTCCACAGAATGTGACATCCGTAATCATTGCCAGTCATTGGAAATATACATTTGCCTCATTAGAATATATTCTTCATGTTTTTATCATACAACCATATTTCAAAGCTTCATGTAATTTTACACATTTTTTGAAAAATACCATTTCAAGAATCTGCTTGAAAAGCAGACGTGCACTACTAAATTACTTTGAAACAAGGAGAAATATTGCACAAAATTCACTGAAGATTTGAAAGTCAACACATTTCCCCCACACAACCAAGTAGCTCCCTTATTTTTAACAGAAACAGAATGTTAATTCACACAGAATCATAACAATTGTCAACATACTTGAACTCAACTTATTTTTCAAATGCTAATACTGTTACTGGACTCTAAATGCAAATGTCATTAGTATTGACCTAAGTAATAGTACAAGTTAATTTGAGTACCCCTTAGTACAGTAAACCTTGGAGTAACTTCCAACTGTGTTACCTGCTTCGTACTCTGAGTCAGCGGAAAATGGCAACGGCCCTGCCAACTACACAGATAGTGGATAGCTCTCTAGACTAAGGTGGCTGTGGACTCATCAGGAAACTCTACTTAGAATAGAGGTCTAGCAGCTTCCAGGAAAGACCTATCAAGTACTTTCAATTGGCAACTGAACTAAAATTGTAAAAAAAGACGTTACAAAGCAAATCAAGGAAGGTTTTGCACAAAACCACATACCATCCCTTTTCCATTCCTTTATTTTCAACCACCCTGAAGATCATGAACTCCAGGCCAGCTGTGGTCCATGCCCTTGGGGTGAAGTTCAGGACATATTCTATTCAGCCCAGCTTCTGTTAACAGGTAAACAACACTTGGCAAAGACATACACATCTAATAGCAGCAAAGAAGTCACTGAAGACAAATCACATCACCATTCATACTGGTTTTGCTGGTGCATTTATTTCTACATTCATTCTCCACAGATTTAGGACGATACCATGGGAACAGACAGCCTTCACCATCCTGAGCTTTGCAATAAGGAAGCTGCTCGCCTCAGGCATCATTTTATTAGCCACATTTGTTTAGCCTGAAATTTCAGGCTGTTGGGAAAACGCTGGCTGGAGTCTCACAGCACCTGGACTAGAGTCTGGTACCAAGAGCGATGCTGCTAACTCCCTTGGAAATAAAGACCACTCTTGACCTGTCCCTGCAGAGTCAGGGAGGTCAGGGGCTACGGGGCTCCTTTCTGCAGGCCAGGGTACCACAGTCAGTGTTACACAGGGGGCGCGTTCCCAAAAGGGCCTCATGCTGGCACTTCGTTTATTATTGCATGAAATGTTTCTTCAATTAATTACATGCATAGAGAAAAGATTTTAGATGCTCCTAGCAATTCCATCAGACAGCTGCACCAAAGAGAGATTGTTCAGTGGGACTGAATATGACTGATTGTAGGTGGAGAAATAGACGCTGTTTTAAAAACCTGGCTTAACTGTTCTTTTGCCTAGACTTTACATCGTTTACAAGAACACAAGGTTGTAAACTAGCTCATTCTAAAACCCGAAAAGACATCTAAAACAGATTTCTGAGATCTAAAACACTCCTCTAATAGATTGGGTGGGATTTTCGAAAGCCCCCAGCACGTGTCTAAAACTCCAGCTGAAGTCTGTGTTACAATGCCTGAGAGGGGACTTCAGCCTGCGCTGAGAGCTTCTGATGACCCCACCCAAACAGCAGCAGTTACCACTGAAATGCTAAATGACAATGAAGGGTTCAGTCAACAAGTTCTATGGAAACTTCTACAACTACATTTTTCCCTCAGAGCAAGTCTATTTTTCAGAGCTACATGATGCCCAAACACGTGGGATGGATGAGCAATCCACTGTCTACTCTACACAGACTGCCCTCTGCATGCATAGAGGGGTGGTAGGGATCACCTTTGCATCCACAGGACTGTCCTTCCCTGAATATCTGCACGGTTTTTCACATGTTGCATCTCTATACACACAGACAGGAAGGCTTTGACAACATATTATCCATTCTGAAAATCCCACAGGGGATTAATTCCATAGGCAACATTACTTTTGCCTACATGGCTGGGTTGGAATCACTACAATTGAGCTAGAACATTAAATAGTATCCTGAAATCTGGATTTCCTCAGTTTTTATTCCTCCTGAGGACTCCCAGGCTCTGCTTCATCACCCCCCACCAGAATAACCCGGGAAACCCTTTCTTTTTCTGCTGCCCTTAACCTTTTCCTCCCAAACCAGATGACTGATACGGCTCATTTCAGGCAGACATCTATGCAAAATAAACTCAAAAATATTAAATTCAAGTCCTAGTTTGACTTTCGACATCAGAAATTTGTTCCTATGCGTAAGTAACAGATTACAAAGCTTAATCAAATAACCTGATATCTCCCTTAAACAGGAGAAATGGAAAGATTCTTGAGATCCTGAAGAAGAGAAGCCTCTGAAGAAGACCACAGGAGCTCTGACCTAGGAGAATTCAGTTCTCACCGTAGCTGGTGATGAACATCAATGATTTTCAAAGACATTAGAAGGATTTCCACAAATAAAAAGCATACAAGTATAAAACTTGCAAAAAGTACTGGACCTGGACAATTTATCTTAATATAGAACCCAGTGTGGTAATAAAAATACCATATATGTAGCCAATAGCTTTATATTTTCACAAGGACAGAGAACAGTGTTGAACTGGAAATATCAGTTTGGACTCCTATCTATTTGGTAACTGGTAATTCTGTTTAAATAAGGCACAAATATTAGCCTTTTTAAAAGATCACTGATAGTAAGTGGAGAAGATTCTGTAATATTAAAGAGATAAAAATGTACCTACAGTTAAATTCAACATAGATATATGACTAAGTTATTTTTGAACCCATACAAAGTTCAAAATCAAAAAAGACATACTATTTAATGATTGTAAACACTATATGGGCTTTATAAATAGTAAGGAAACAATGTGGCATAAGCACAGCAACTAACATTTTGACTGAAATAAAAATAATTCTAAGTTGAATTTTACCTTTCATCTTTTAGTTCATCTGTTTACTTCTTTTCAACCTGCATTTTTACTCAACTAAAGAGTGAATTATTATTACAATGCCTCCACTTTGAAAGATTCTACTATTAAACTTTCCATTTTATAATCCTTATAATAACCTCACAAGGCTTCCATATTTTTTCCACGAAGGTGAGAATGGGACCATTTGTGTTATGATAGAAGTTCAGTGCCTAACTCTCATGTAAAGCCAGTAAGATTTCTTCTGTCAGAGAGGCATTTCTGAAAACCATTTTCTGGCAGCATTCCTGGACTTATGTCTTCAATGGTTTTGAAAGTAATGATGGCCATAATTTCTGATATTTTTTTTTATTTTCCTCCTTAAGACATTAATACTGTTTATTATCTTTAATTAATGAAGAAAACAAAGCATCATCTTCGATGGAATTATGGAGAGAAACACCATGTCAGATGCAGAGGAAAAGATGAATCTTGAAATCCTCGTCAACAAAATGCAAGGCCATGAAAAAGTACGAATGAGAAGTGCTACAACAGCACAGACCTTTGTGTTGCCCATCTTCTCTTAGACACACTCAGTAGCTCTATAGTTTGGTAATGTTTAGTGCCAGCAAAGAAGAATGCTCTCTCATGAGGCTGCTCTGCAGCTTTTTTATCTGAGCAGCACCTGAGCCACCTGGTCTGACCCACCTGGAAAGTTCAGAGTGGAGATTTTAAATAATTTTTATGATACTTTTGATTTTTAATAGTGCAAAATATTTTGCCAAATAACCTTTTTATGTTATAAAAAAAAAAAAAAGTCCACAGCATACCATGTTGATACATAAGAGGAAACCAAAGGATAGGTAAATACTTTTGAGTACAGACCACTAGACACACAACCTCTAACTTTGGAAAACTGAGACTCTCCAGCCATGCAGATTGCAGATGCCCTCAGGAATGTTCATGCTCTAACCAGACAGAGATATTTCTGTAAGATTTGCACTTTTACAACCTGATTAAAAAAAAAAAAACAAACAACCAAACATCTGGAGGCTCATCCTCAATTAAAATCACTGGCCCAGCCCTTCTCATTCTGGAACAAGCTGCAACTTTTGCATTAACAAAGTCAAGATCTCACTCTACTGCAGGTCTTTGGTAAAGCATCACATATCGCCTCTGTAATGATATGTATCCATTCCCTTAGGTCAGCTGCCTTGTAATAAAGCAGCCAAAAAAACCCTTTCCATTTTTGTTAGCTAGAAGGAAAATTAATTCATAAATCTCAATGTGGCAATTGATATTAAAAAATTAATTGATATTAAACTATTAAAGTGCCATCTGATCCAAATACTGACCTCAGGAACATGCTCACTCAGACCTATACTGAGACTAACCATTCATGCCAAAGAGGGAATGAAAGAAAAAAGGTTTCCAACATAAGTTTAGAAGAGCAGGAGAGCATTCTTCTCAGGCACAGTTCATTTTGTACCCATGTGTTACTTCTGCCAACTGCAGCTCAGATACCCTTCAAAGCTGACAATTCCTATCTGCTGAAACTTCATGCCTTTTCTGTCCTGTGCAGGACAATGTAGGTATGGTAAGGTGGAGAGGTGGAAAAAGAAGAGGGGAAAAAAATTCAAAAATAGTAAAAAAGGAAACAGCTGCTCCACGTAGCAGCAAGAATTTTCAGACTTTAAATATCCAAATATACCTTAGGAATGCTGCCAAAAGGAGGACAAACGCTTCTTTTAATACAATACACATCAAGTCCATTTATCCTCCTTCACTGAATTTAGAAAGTAATTTTTGGTTGTTCAACTTAGCTAAAATGAGAGTTGGATATACGCAATTTTAAGCTGAATCTGTAATTTCAGCTTTCTAGCGTTACAAGTAATTTTCAGTCATGACTCTAATAATTTAACTAAATATGACTTCTAATAAGAGTAATTCAATCTACCTTCAAAAGGGTAGCCACTAAAAATGGAAAGAAAATAGTTCAGAAGAGGCACAAATTAATTTTCAAACACTATTAAACTGTAGAAAATAAAAAATAACAGAAATCTATCAATTCCACTTACACTTTCCTTTCTGAAAAATTTTAGGTGAAATAGTCTACCTAGCGAAACCGGATAATACGTCTTTAAAGTGTCTTAGTTGTAAACAGAAGTTAATAAATGTCACATTATAATTCAGCGCTTCATGTACTTTACAGAAGAGAGAAAAGCATGCGCTATTTTTTCGAAGTCTGGAAGACAGAGCCTCAGTTTTAGTTTGGAATAAGTTCCAAGTTATATTCACAACAAGTTCCTTAATCTAAAAAAAAAGATTTCCTCCCTCCCCCCATTTGCTGAAGCAAATTCTTGCCATGGAAAATCATTATTGCTGTTTTGTAGATTTGCATTCATCTTCTAAGATAGTTAAACCTCTTCTCAAAAGATTAAGGCAACTATTATTCATTATGAATATTAACAATTGTACATTTCAGACAAATCAGATCGCTCAGTTCATTTCATGCTTAATAGAATTAATATAGTACCTTCAAAACCTGGTTACCTATTATGTGATAACTCTCCTGCTGCTTAGAGGAAGCAAATGCTAGGAAGCACCATATACCTGCTGTATTTTTAACACAGAGACTAACTAGTACCTGATTTAAGAGTGCATTCATATATTTAGTTCCATTTTGTGGACCTAACTACAGCCAACAAATGAACTGGGTAAACATAGAAGCAGGTGTCCCAATGGCAGAAAATGCATACTCAACTGAAGAGAATTATTTTTATAATTGAAGATCTCTCATTCCTTTTTCATCTTTTGGTTACCATGTTATATGGAGTTATATGGAGTCCTGAGTAGTCTCCCTTTAACTTCTGATGGGAGTCAAGTTTCTCTTCTCATAGCTTTCTTACGTTTTATTTCCACTGCTACTGCTGGATAAGTTATCCTTTGAAATATTTAAACCATAGTGAAAAGCAGAACTCAGTTTACATAGTGACACCACTTCTTGAAGAAGCCCACCCTCTTCCGGAGTTTCATTTCTTTCCTTCCCATCTTTCTCCCAAGGGACCAGAATGGATGGATGTTGAGCAAGACTCGTTGGGAGCTGATCTTCTGAGGTATTGCTTAGTGTTTCATTCCGCTTTGCATACTTAGAGGAAGAATATCCTGCTTTGAAACTTTCTAGAGAAGCAAACTGGGCACTTGATTGTACTGGAGATAGGGATGTCGTACTAGTGGTGTCCGCCTTATCAGTAATAAAGGTTTTTTCACTGCTTTCTTCTTCCAGCCTTGAGAGAGATTCTCTATGGCCACCAGAAGTAACCTGCTTCCTTGGAGATGGAGGGAGCTGCTTCCCATGGAGGACGCTGTCATCCTGACCAAGGTTCCACTCAGCTTGATCGTTAGCACTGCTGCAGAGCAACGTAAGGTTGCTCTCACTAGGTGCATTTGACTTGTTCTGAAAGAGAGAACATATGTTTATAGTTGATGTCACATCTTACACTGGCACTTCTGAAACAAAGAAGCTAATGGATTTTGTGTGTTCCTAAATCACGAATCACGGGTTCAAGGTTACAAAACAACAATCCCAGTAACAATGTAAGAATAAGTGCTTTTACACTTCTCTGTGGAACACTCTGTCTCTATCCTAAGGATTGCCTTTTGTACAAAGGAAGGATTTCAGTCCATTCAGTCTTTGCACAAGCAGTTTTGACAGGGAACAATGTCACACTTTGCTGGTTTGTACCCATAATATGAGAAGGAGCTGAACTAAAACTAAAACCAGATGGCATTTCCTCTTTGCTTCAGTAATTAATTACACCAACTTTCAATATTAAATTTTCTAGCCAAACAAACAAAAATGGGCATTTCATTAATGCGACCCCTGTGTGACACTCATAATATAAAATTTTACAAGCTTTTTAAACATTTCCATCAGAATTTGTTGTTCCAGTAATGAATCTTCTACTATAGGATCCCTTTCAGCAAGAGTAAATGTTGGACAGCTGATAGGAGCTGGAATTCAAAAACACTACCATTTTTTTGGCTAACATCACAGCAGTGACTTGATGGGGGTTTTGAAATTGCAGGCGAGCAGTTTGTTTACACTACAGGTTCCTGTGCAACTTTACCTAAAAAATGATCATCCCCCTCTTAGAACCCTCTTAGAAATAGTACCTCAGGAGTACTACTCTAGCAGTGTTTCAGGTGCAATTACCACATGTATCCCATGACTTAATCAAGATGGAAATATCACCATATCACTACGAATCGTTTAAGGATGCAATGTGATAACATAAATAACTACCTTCTAAATCACATTAAAAAAAAATAAAACCAGCCCTGAGAATACCAGATTGAACAGCTAAATATAATATTCAACTATTTGATTATGTAAATTATTACATTATTCACAGGTCTATCTGTGGTTACTGTTACACAGGAAAAATAGTCTTCCAAGATAACAACTTGGTAAACTGGACAAAGATGTAACCAATCTCTTGGCTGGTGAAAAACCATCATGCAGTGGCAGCATGAGTGTACTGTTGTGTAGTCCTAGGAAGACACACCAGCAACTCTCAGACTGTGCTGCAGTGTCTGAGCTGCACATTGTTGATTCCACAAGTGCAGGATTCCACCATAAAAGGACTGGAGTTGTTTTTCAAATGAAAGCAGAAGACTAACCGCAGTCTTGTACTCAATGTCATCCATTGATTTGAAGAAATCCAGGCTCTTTGCTCCCGAGAGCTTTCCTTGATCTGAACTGTGTGTGCTCAGTGTGTCCAAAATCTCCCCAAGCAAGTCCATTTCTCCTTGATGCTGAGGAGTTATTCCAGTTTCACCAGAATCATCACTATCATAGAAGTAAGCAGGAGTTTCTTCACTGTCCTCTGATGATAGTCTGAAAACAAAAACTTTTTCATCAGCTAGGAACATAAAAACCATTTTATTACAGCCCCTTTTGAAAGTAGGAGAATGCGTTCCAAGACTTTTGAAAGAGAACATAAACCTGGAATTTCTTTCTCCTCAAGAATTTTCCTAAACATAGTTGTATTGTATCTATGGAGATGCCGTTACCATTAGTTGGTTTTCCTGTCTCCTGGCTCTTCCCCAACCACTATAAGCTGTTATTTCAAGTCACCCTTAATATGACTTCCCAAATCTTCCCTTCAAATTTTAGTTATTCCAAAATCGGTTCTTCTTTTCCTTTGTTTACACCTTGTATTTAGGTCAGTGTTGCTACACCTCTCCAGGTGACCTAACCACATATTTTGTTCTAGTGGCAAGACTCTCATACTGCAGCTCTCCCTCTGTCATATGACCAGGTTCACTGGAGTACTGCCTCTCTGCAAGCAGAACTAGTGCTTTTGTCTCTTATCTTCTTTCATTCATGCAATATGCTCACCTTTGTCCCCCCTACTATTGCAGTCTTTCCCTATCTCTGTCTGTCCCTAACACTACAACAAAGGCTACTTCCAGGGGTCTCGCTTTTTTGATGATATTCTTCGAACACTTCAGTAGCTCCCTCTTCCCTACTGCATCATACTTAAGCTGCTTGACTTTGCTTTCAAGGTCCTTTGTGGTTTATATCCATATGTTCATTATCAAAAATCATCTCCTGAATTCAATCAGAGAATGCCTCAATGCAGCTTAAGCCTCAACTTCTGATTTTCCTTTAATTCACACATAGGAAGTTCTTGATATAAAACTTACAAAGCAACGTTTCTCTTTCAGACCCTTCAGAAAACTTTCCATTATCTTGACCACAACACAATACTTAAAGAATAAACTAGCTGAGGTCACTGCCCACCATGATGACAAATATTATTTCAGTGCTCCTTTGCCTATCTTTTTATCTTGATTCTGTGAAGACTGAGGATTATGTCAAGCTCTTCTAGACAATAATGAAAATATGTAATAGCCTGTCCCTCTTTTTAAAAGCAGATTTAATTCTAAACCACTTTACCTCATTTAGATCTGGAAAGGAGAAAAACGTATCACTTGAACTCAACTTTTCTAAATAACTCTAGTTACCATTTCTCTCATACATACATACACGTGCAAACAGGTCTCTTACTTGCTTGTTCTCTCCATCTCATCATCATCGTCTTCATCCAAGGCAAAATCCTGATTACTGAGATGCTGGTTGAAACGAGTCTGGAGGGAATTAACATTAATACATAAAATTAACATTATAATTTTTGTTTATTTTTTTCTATTTCAGCATTACTTATTTGGAGTCTAGCTGCCACTTTACTCATTAAGACTTCCTGAACTTTCCTGATGAGGAAAACCACATATTGATCAAGTCTTCTAAAGGTTGTTATAAGAGGATGTGAAGTTCTCAAACGTCACCAATTAAAGAGCAAGAGAATCATTTTTTTTCATGGCCTGTGGAGGGCCTTATTATTTATGCAACACCTGGAGTGCCTTATTATTTATGCAAAGCCTTGATTAGCAAAAGACTGGCTATTGGAGGACAAACATCACTAAATTTTACTACTTACCCCTTCTTGCAAGTATATCACACAAAGAGATTTTCTGTTTTCTGATAGAAATATTTGCCAAATTTTGGTTGATGTGGTTTACTGAGCATGAAGAAAAATGGATTTTTGAAATAGCAAATACAAAAGAAGTCAGGAGTCTAAATCTCTTTACATAGCTATATTTATATCAGGGTGTTAAACAGAATTGCAGAGTAAGTAGTACACCAGCTTGAAAACTGCACTAAGAATGCTTTTGTGCAGGATAATTTACTGTAAATTACAGTTAACTCAAAGTTAGTGTACACTCAGAGCATCCCACGGGGAGCTTGTGTAGAGTAGCTGGTGTGCTGTAAATTCACACACTACCATACTGAGTTTTCACTAACCTCTTATATCACATTATTATTTAGCAAACAGAACCAGGCTAAAGATTTCTACTATACTTGAAAAAAGTCTCTATCTTGACCAGAAAATTTAAGTCAGGAATTTTAGTCACTTGTGCTTCACAAATTACTGTGTTAAAGTCTGTGCATCAAAAACTTACAAAGATTAACTATGCAGGCAATCACTCCACTGAAGAGATTCTGAACGTTCTGAACGTTGGAAAACTGGACATAATTTAAAGACATATGGATAGAATTTGTGCAACGGGAAAACAGTGTTAGCTAACTTTAAAGAAAATCATACTAAACTAAAAAGAAGTGCTACTGCCCACATCTCATCACGCAGTTCACCGAATGCCTAAACCTACAACAAGCCCCTGATGGGGAAGAAATACGGCCTTGATTTCAGACTACAAGGAGCTTGGAAATCTTGTACTGTGAGGATTTCAGTACGTCACCTATTACAGATGTTGTCAGTGTTCTACATGTACCAGGACACTCTGTAACTTTTTCCTCCCATTATTGTCAGGTAAGTCTCAATGTTCACTTTTTACAGACTGACATGTTTTTTCTTGTTCAACAGGAGAGGATTTAATTAAAGCAGCAAGTTTTGATAATGCTTTCCATAGTTCTCCACCCACGAAGAGGAAACGTGGTTCTTAATGTGTTAAACCAAGTAACAGTTGATAGAAAATGAAAGAATTATTAGAGTATTAAAAACTATGAAAGAACCTGAACTAAGCTTCACACTAAGCAAAAGTTATAGGATGGAATGCAAAGAAACAAACTTTTGATATTTCTAACTCTTTGAGTTTTATGAGTTCCTTGTGTCACTGCCATCAGTCTTGTAATCAACCATATCCCCACTTGTAACTAAAGGGAGTTTAACCACTCTGTCTTAATTTATACTGTTAATTAGTTATCTTACTGATCACTGCCTCAACTACAGTCACTGTTTTCAGTTTAAAAGTTGATGTTTTAAGTATCTTCACTGGGACAATTGAAATGCTTTGTTTCTGTAACACTGGTAAATCACTACTTCCCCAAGAAAATTTTGACATAAGATTCATTGTAATTAAAGCTCTAATCCTGGAACTGACTCTTGGAGGGAAAAACCCCATTTCTGTCTCACTTTTTTTTGAATTTCCATCAGAATTAGATGGTGCCATCACATTTACTTCTACTAACATAAAGACAAGCTTTTGCAGGAAAGAAGGTTCTTTAAAAATGTTGAGAAATTTCAGAAAAGAAAACTAAAACTGATGCTTGTTCATCTCTAGATGGATTAATCCTGACAATGGAATAAAATCCCACAAGCTAACACTCACTAATTTGTTGAAATAATAAATAATATTTCAAAGAGCAAAAATGGCATGTTTAAAAAAAAAAAGAAAAAATGAAAAAAACAAAGAAAGGTTGTGTCTTTGAAAAACAGGAACTGAATAAAATTAATTAGAATCAACAAACACCACAGGCAGAGCAGTGGCCCCTCAGAGCATCTACAAACAGAATTATGCAAGTGTGTTAGTGAAAGCAAGAATAACATCATAAAGGAATATAATAGAGCATATGTTGATAAACCTAAAAAAAAAAAAAATCCCCAAACAAAAACTTGTAGTTCATCATGGTCAGACTCTTTGAAAAAATATTTTTGTTACCAATTTAAATGTTTAGGTTACAAAGTTATACAGAAAGACTTTCAAAAACTAACCCAAATAAAATGGGATTTACATACAAAGAAGAAAAAGCAAAAGAGGAAGGAAAGGAAAATACCTGGCTGTAAATAACAACATTCTCCAGAGTTTACAGCTCTGTGAGCTAGCCATGGAGACAACAAGCAACACATGTTTTTGAATAGGTGACTTTCTTCTAGGAGCTGTAATAAAAAAGACTGCAAGGGAGGGGTATTGTCCAGACTACTTTGCAAAGAAAGAAAAAGAAAGAAAGAAACTCTTAATAAATTCCAAAAGGAGAACTATAAATCTTTTTCAATGCTCCACTAGGCAAAGTGACATAGTACGTGCACCTGCAAAAGCTGTCAAAGTCATTTAAGAAGTCCTTCCATTACTGACGTACCCTGCTGTTTGCAGTTATTTAAGCTTTTAATTTCTGTCTTTTCTGCATTTTGAAGTGTGTAACCTTTTTTATACCTTTTTATGAAAAAAGGACAGACTTCTGTTTCCTTCCTGATCAGCATTCTAATAACAACCAGACCATTTAAATTTATTACTGCAAGAAATGATATGGTCACACTCCTTTCTTGCTGCACCAGAACTTTATAAAGTCTTAATAGACTGCTGTCATGTTTTTTTCTATAAAATAAAGAAATAACCTTCTTTAAAGTACTCAATTGTTTTGCTTCTTCCAACGAGTTCTGTTTATTATAAACAGTAGATTTATTATGTATCCACTTCATATCAAAACATGATTCAACTTTTGCTATTTCAAATTTTTCCCACCTTCAGGCGCACTGCACTGCAAGAACCCATCTCTCATCTTCCTCAGAACGTAACAGTTCAACATAACACAACAAGTTGTGTTCAACTTAAACACAACAAGCTCCTGCTCTCCACAAGTCACTGTTGAACCATCAAGCCTGTGTGTAAAGGACAGCAAAGGAACAACCGCAGCTGGTGTGAGGATATTTTGCATACATAGTATACATCCTCTTTGGTTTCTGCCCCACTTCAAAATCTCATTCCACAAGTGGTCTGCAACCTATGCAGTTGGGGTAAATACTGATCACTGAAACCAGAAAAAGAATGTGCTGACACACAAACCACACAAAGTGAGAACAGGTCCTTAAACTGTTCTCTTCTGCTCGCTGGTAGCCTCACAAAATGTACTACTTCGGCATAAAAACATAGACAAAAATACATGATTTAAATGTAAGATGGTTACATCCTTGATTGGGCATGAGAGTCAATCTTTGAAATGTCAGCTTTTTATTTAATGCTAGACCTTTCAGAAGCACAGCTTTCTGGAATGAGTATTATTGATCTTTACTAAGGCATAAGTTTAACAAGGCTGCTGCTATTAATTGTCCTCAAAGCAAGAAACAAATAATCTTTTGATAAATGGCAGCACACATATAATTTCACATTTACCAGCTACTCGATACATCAACACATATAAAGTTTCAAGAAAAGAAAAATATCTACTATGGTTTAAATTTATGAAGTACTGTTTCCTTTTTCTTAAAAATTTAAAGATTATTCATTCAATACAAGAAAGCAAAATAAATACAAGGCCACTATTATTTATGATTCAGTATTTTATTTTACCTGTCCTCCTCTACAACACAATCACAGATGTAATTATGGCTTTACCTCCAGTAGAGAAGCAACAATCTCTCAATCAAACTTTCTAGTTAAGCACAACCTGTTGCCTTCCTTTCAGGTTAAAGATTTTGACCTAAAGCAATGGATAATGAAATCACAGGGAAGTACTTCACATTACACTCCAAAAGAGCTGAAACTGATGGGGGAAGAGGGAAAGAAGGGAGATATAAAAGAAGCACAGTTGCTAAACTTTTCTTCTTTTTCTGGGACATGCTACAAATCAACCACAAGCTTAAGGCAATGCTAGGGGTACCAGTTAGTTACATGGACATCAGACCAGGATAGATGCAAGCAGTAATTCTAGATAAATCTCTTGAAAGGATCCCTTGAAAAAAAAATTACTTGTGCATTTTTACTCACAGAAAGTAACACAAAGTAATAATGCCTTACAAAAAATATGCCTCTGATATCAGAAAAGTTGTCCTGGGTATAAATTAAATAAATGTTATCTAGGATGTTATATTTGCTTTTTAATTATTTTATTATTATAACACAGGACTCATTGATAATTTAAAAACTATTAATCTTAAATAAATAAAAACAACCCTTCATCCTTCCTAGAATAGAAATATTCTCTACTTTAACAGATTCAGACATATAGATGATGCATTTGAAAGAACGTGAAATGGTTGGAAATATCCACTGCTTTATGCCATGAGACAAAAGTGTCATCAGTTCTGAGATCCTGTTAATTAAAATGATATAGAAACAGACGCACACAAAACCAGTAGGTTTCCAGTGACAGAAAGAAATGCTTTTCTGTGACAAGAAAGAACCTGCAAGAGCAGGAAATCCCCCAAATCTGTTCAGAGACAACCAGAAATGTGTAGATAAGAATATGGGCACAGTACTTTGAAATGACAAGTAAACTATAATGCAACAGCGATCTCCACTGACTTCCGTGCAGTTAAAGGAAACATTAATACCCATGCTGAGGTAGAATTTAT